TAATGACAGAGCTATAAGCAGTTAATGATGCCTAGAGGATCATTGATTGAGTTAATAACCCAGCCATGCTTGTGTAGGCAACCTTAACTAAATATAGTGGCCATCAAAAACAAAATAGTTCGGCAATGGTGCCTTTAATCCCAACACTCAGAAGCAGGTGCATCTCTGAGTTCGAGGTCAGCCTGATCTACAACACGAGTTCTGTGACAGCCAGAACTGTTACATAAAGAGACCCCATCTCACAAAAGCAAAAAAAAGGGTGGGGTGGGACCTATTGGGAAGAAGCAGTTTACTTGGTGGGGAAGGGAGAGGAATAAGAGGGTAATGATGGCTAGAATATAAGCAGAGTATAGTAGATGAATATATGAACTTATAAAGGATAAATAAAGCAGAAGGGCTGACCCAAGTTCAAACACAGAATCCACAGTAGAAGAGAACCTACTCCTAAGGGCTGTCCTGTCTTCCACCTTTGTACCATGGCACATTCCAGGGTGCTGGCTTATGCCACCAAGCCTGATGACCTGAATTTGGTCTCTAAATTCCACATGGTAGAGAGAATCAACTCCCAAAGTTGTCCTCTTGCTGGCCTCCAAACACGTGCTATGTGGGTGCATGCACAGAGAATAAAGTTTCTTGTTTTTTTTTTTTTTTTTAAAGCATTGATGTAAACTACATATTTGACTGACATGCATTTGAAGACTTCTAGGAACTAAAACAGAATTTTGCACATGTATTTATGATTCAGGTGTTATCTTAGGACACTTTTTTTATGCACATATGTGCAAGCGTGCATTCATGCCATGGTGTATGGGTGGAGGTCGGAGAGTAACTGCAGGAGTCAGTTTTTTTCTTCCACCATGTGGATCCTAGGGTGGGAATCATAGTCGGGTATGGTGGGTAAGTGTCCTTTAACTGCCATACACAAACACCATCTAAATATTTTTTAACATTTTATTATTTATTTATTATGTATACAGTGTTCTGTCTATATGCTTGCTGGCCAGAAGAAGGCACCACATCTCATTACAGATGGTTGTGAGCCACCATGTGGCTGCTGGGAATTGAACTCAGGACCTCTGGAAAAGCAGTCAGTGCTCTTAACCTCTGAGCCATCTCTCCAGCCCCACAAACACCATCTTAAACATTTTTCCTTTCCTTTTTTTTTTTTTTTTTTTAAATTTAACTTTATGTTCATCACTGTTTTGCCATGGGTGTCAGTTTCCCTGGAACTACAGTGACAGTTGTGAGCTGCCATATGGGTGCTGGGAATTGAATCCGGGTCCTCTGGAAGAACACCCAGTGCTCTTAACTGCTAAGCCATCTCTCCAACTTCCTTAAACATTTTTTTCATGACATTTTTGTTTGTGTGGGGGTGTGCTAATGCCAGAATGCGTGTGCAAGTGAGAATAGTTTTAAGGAATTGGTTCTCTCCTTTCATCATGCAGGTTCTTTGGGAGTGAAAATGTGGTCAGGTTTGGCAGCAGGTGCCTTTACTCACTGGGCCGTCTCTCCAGCCACCTTAGTACTTGTGAGGCGCCGGGGCAGAGTGTTTTGCTTATTGTGCATCACATAAACTGGGTATAGTGGCACATCACAATAATCCCCACACTCAGGAGGTGAAGAGGCAAGTTTATCTTTTTGGACAATAGTGAATTTGAAGCTATCCTGGACTACTTGAAAATCCTGTGTAGTATTTATTTTACCAGTCAAAGACAGCCAGTTGCTGCCTTGCTGGCTAATGAATTTGGTTTAGTTTTGTATTTTGAGACAGGCTTTCCCTATGTAATCTAGGGCTTGTCTTACTCCTGACAGTCCTCCTTCCTTGGCCTCTTAAGTATTGGGCTTAGAGCACACAATACCCTAACTGACTCGGGGCTGTTCTGAATATCTAGGCTGTGTGCATTGAAGGAAAGGGGCATTTGGCTTGATGTTACCGTAGGTAGGTAGGTAGGTAGGTAGGTAGGTAGGTAGGTAGGTAGGTATAGATGGATGATAGATATGCACACACTCATTTTGTTAACTTATCTATTGACATCATGGAAACGTCTTATTTCAACCTTATGCTGCTGTAAATGGCCCTGATAGAGCTGAACCAACCACGCCTACATAATTATTTTCTGTTTTGCTTTTCCTTACTTGCATGAACCAGAAAGCCTACTATTCTTGTGAAAGATTTTTATGGCACTCCATGCTTTCTAAGGATAGGAGGTAGTTAGAGCTTAGCTTTCACAAGTCCCTCGGGTCATTTCCATGTACCACCAAAACAAAACTCGTTGTAGGCAAAGTAGAACTTTATACTTCTGGAGAGGCTTTTGATTCCTGAAAACTATAACAATGCATTTCTGTCTCCTAAACCATCTTGCTGGTTCTCAAGTTTGTTTGTAGTGTTGTGCGTGTTACATATAGAGATGCTTGCACACCAAGCCTGATGGCTTAGACTTGATTCTGGGAGCCCACACGATAGGAGAGATCCAGCTCGCATAGGTTGTCCTGACTAGCACACATTGATGTCAAACTATGTAAATTTTCTTGTTGTGAAGACACAGTAACTGAGGCCGGAGAGATGGCCCAGTGGTTCAGAGTGGTTGCTTCTCTTGCAGAGGACCTGGGTTCAGTTTCCAGCAACCACATGACAGCTCACACTCTAACTCCAGTTCCAAGGTTTCCTAATCTCCTCATTCTGGTCTCTACAGGCAGCAGGTACAGATACACATGCACACAAAATACTAATTTCAGTAGAAAAAAACAAACATGAAAGTCTCTTCCCTGGTGGTTGCTTGGACAAGGGGTCAAGTTCTGTGGTTTGAAAACTGTAGGATAAAGTGCGAGTGTTTTGAGTAGGAGCCTTCTCAGGCTTCTGTACAAGTAGCAGGAGGATCTACCAGGGACCTTCTACTGCCAGCAGGGATGACCTCACCCCACACACGGACAGCATTAATCTTTTCTACTCATCCTTCTTCAGGCTCTGGTGTCCTGCTCTTTATTTTCCATGCAAACTTTTTGGGTAAAGAAGTTATTGCTCGGCTCTGTGGACCATGCAGCGTGCAAGCTGTAGTTTTAAATGATAAATTTCAACTTCCTGTTTTTCTGGTAAGATTTTCTGTAGTTAATTGAAAATTGTGATCAAAAGTCATGTGACTTTACGTTTTATTAAGGTCTTTAATGTGTCTTGGTGCTTTTAAGTGCCTTGGTATGGGTGTGCACACCATATATACACACAGATGCGCATACATACAAATATGTTCATTTTCATAATAGTGACACTTGGACAACTCCCATTTTTTTATAAAAGAAAATGACCAAAATTTTGTTTATAAGTACTTAAATTCACTTTAATGCCACTAATATATATATAATTTTATATAGGACCATGTATATATGGTCCTAGAACCAACATTCTGAGAATAAATTCTTAGCCCTGAGACCTTTTACATAAGGCCAGAATAAAATGGTTGTGTTTATGCCTGTTACCTAATGTATAATTCTTTTGACATAAAGGAATGCCTTTGGGTATGTTTTGGTTTGATTTGGTTAAAATAAAGCTACTACCCAACAAACCTTCAATTCCTGATACTCTTACATGATTGCTTAATTCTGGTGTCAGCTCACATATGTGCACCATCACTCCTATTTTAAAATTTTACATTTTGCCATTTGTGGAATTCTTTCCTGGTGCCATTGTTAAATGAATATAGTCATTTCTTCTGTGCTTGCACTACATATATTTTATGTATTAGAACCTTAGATTTTTGTGTTTTTTAGTGTTTGAGATAGGGTCAATATCAAGGCCCTGGTAGGCCTTGTTAACATTGTTCCAAATGCTGAGTGGAATGTGATCTTAAAATCAAATTACACTACACTGACTCAGAACAAACAAACTTGAGGGTGGGATGTGGGGGACTTGAGTGGGTAAGAACGTTTGTGTACATGCATGTCACAGTGGGTGAGGACAGATGCCAAGTGATTGGCTGGCCAGCCTGATCAGTGAGAGATCATGTTTCATGGCAATAAGGCAGAAGGTGATATTTTTGACACCACATTCAGCACATTTAAAAAAGCAAACAACCCTAACCAGAAGCTGAGCCATCAAGTCTGAGCTACACAGGGAAATCCTGTCCCAAAACTTAAAAAGAAAAAAACCTCAGTTTACTGATCTCCACTGTAAGAAGTTCTAGGGTTTGTAGATGTCAGAGATGTTGAGTCTGACTTTTCTTTCTTTCCCTCTAGGACAGTCACTTTGTTTACTCGTTTAGCCCTGTCGCCGGCCCCAATAAGTTGTTCATAAGGTTGACGGAATCACCCTTTGCCAAGGTGAAAATCTTTGCTTCATATTTAGGGTAACTGCTCAGGTTGTCAGTGCTCAGGGTCCAGAAGAATCCTCTCTCCTAGGGCAGGGATGTTGGTTCTCTGAGGCAGTGTACACTAGGTGAAGGTGAAGTCTGAGGGCATCCCTGCAGAGCATTCCAGTCCTGACTTGAGTACTAATCTGCCATTATGGCTAGGCACAATCTCCATGTGAAAGGAAGCTGGATTTTTTTTTTTTAATACAGTCACTCTTTAGCTAAAAATAGCAGCAACCCAATATTCTTACAAGGTGGGAGCTTTCATGTGTACTAACCCTCATTTTCTTTTTAGGTCAAGTTGCTAATAGGTGCATACAGAGTACAGCTGCACTGACCTAAGTACCAAGACCAGGGCTGTCTTTGAAACAGTGTGGAATCCTGGCGCATCTGAAATGTTCAAATATAGTTTCCCTATAAACTTGCAATTTAAGTCTGTTTGTTGCCTGGTAAGGACAAACAGGGCCTTTATAATGCATAGTCTATGTGTAAGTGTTTATGCCATTGTTCGAATGTTCAATGTTCTGCATAGTTTATTTCCACAATGTGGAACAGTACATATGAGAACTATTTAATTAAAAACTTTTGAACTTGAAATTTTCTACTAGTCTTTTGAGTAGTCTTTGAAAAAAACAGATTCAGGCTGGGCTATGGTGGCTCTTGGCTAACTCTAGACTCTAGTTCAGGGTGAGCCATGCCTACCCATGGCATGTACCCTTTCCAAACAATTCATTACTGTGGAGACAAATCTTTCATCAGTAAGTAGGAATGTCATACATGTACACACAGGCATTGTGTAGAGAAGCTCTTCCTACAGAATACCTGTTGGCTCCATCCTGTAACAGGATTACAGGTGTGTCACCTTCTATACAGGCCAAGGTCACCTTGTATATTTGTCTGTGTGCTTTTTATAAGAGGTTTCAGCCCACCAGGCAGTTGTGGCTCAGCCTTGACTCCCAGCATTCAGGAGGCAGAGGCAGATAGTTAGTTCTCTGTAAGTTCAAGGACAGCCAAGGCTAAAAAGAGAAACCCTGGTTTCAGTCCTAAAGAAAATAATTTGTTAAACTAAAATCACCAAACCTTGAGCAGTCAATACATTTTTACCTGTGTAGGTCTTCTCCAATCCAGTGGCTATATATACAATATACCTAAAGATAGATTTTCCCCCTTTTTATTTGAGCCCTGTCTCTCTTGGAATTCACTATGCAGACCAAACTGTCCTCAAATTAAGAGAATCTGCCTGTCTCCAAGTGCGCCACCAAGCCCTGTCCAAGGTTGTGCCAAGTCATAAATCACCATACCCAACAAAATGGCATTTTCCTAGTTTGTGATGAGAGTAGACTTGTGCCACTTTTGTTATATTTAAAAGTATATCAGACAGTAATTTAGCTTCCTTTATTTTCTTTCTGTATTTCTTTTCTATGTCTCCTTTTTAATCTATACTATAAAGCAGGTGCTTTAATGACAAGTCCACTTACAGGCTTTTTTTAAAAATGTATTTTATCCCTCTTTGAAGGCCACATAGGCCATGCTGTGGTGGCACAAGCCTTTCTTTGATCCTTGTGTGTCCTGCATGTAGATGCTTCTTAGGTCTCAGGCAACACCCTCCCCGCTGGTCAACAGCACCACACCTGCAACAGGCAAAACAGGACAGGAACAAGAGAAAACACTATCAGGGGTTTTGCCACGACACCATAAACATCTTACATTGTTAGCATAACAAAACAGGAAATATGATTCTTTCCTAAGCAGCTGGGAGAAGAAAGGAACCGTCATTCCTAGCATACATTCTACAACATTTCTAAATCATACTTTCCAAAGGAACCTAAGGGAAATGTCATAAATCTGGGGCCAAGAGGAGCTCTGAAGCCGAGGTGGAGCAGCATGACCAAGCTTGTACCTGAGCAGCGATCCTGCAGACAAGTGCATGTCTTCAGACAAATCAGTTCCAAGAGACTATGGAATTTTCCTGCCACAAATGAGAGAAATCTGTATCCGCTCCTGTAAGACCCTTCTCTCCTCCAGACCTCATTGGACATTTCCAGTCTAGATATCTACCTACTCAGGCTTCACAGTGCTATTTCAGAAACACTAGAGCAGAGCTCCTGAACTGCAGCTTTCTACCTGGCAATGAGAAGGTCCTGGCCCTTTTTGCTCTGAACCCAAAGTCTGGACTCATTCCCCAAGGTCAAGGACAGAGATGATTGTGGAGAGGCAGTACAGACATTGGAGAGAGCCAGTATTGTTGATATCAAAGTAAACATTCGTCAGACAGCCATTTCAAGAATTAACAATGTAGGGGTGCTTCAGCCAAGGTCTCCAAGGAGCCCCAACCAGTGATTAATCAATCTAGCTTGATGGTGAGATGAGTTTGGGGTTACACAGAAATTTCTGTACTGAACTTGGTCATATGCAGCAACATAGAAAAATCCTGTTGTTTTATCTCTCTTTCTCTCTCTCTCGTAAGGTCCCTATGTGCAGACCTGGCAATCCTGGAACATGCACATACAAACACATTCCCCCTTATTTCTCTTGCTCCAGTATACCTCAGAACTACACACATTATACACGAAAGAATGCAAGAAAGCAATCAAGAGCGTTCTCAAAGACGGCGTGCAAGCATTGTCTCATGGACACAGGTGGCATTGTAAGGTTTCAGCTCAAACTCAGTCAAACTGTCTTCCACAACAAAACATTGGGCCTGGTGGTGTGGTACATACCTTTAATCCCAGCATTAGCAGGTGGAGGCAGAACTTGAGGCCAGATTGGTTTCAGACTTCCAGGCCAGGTAGATACTGTCTCAACCAAAAGAGAAAAAAAAAAAAAAAAGGAAACACTAGAACTCTGACTGGGGCTGTAAACTCGGTTCAAAGCAGAGGACCACCAGGTAAAATGGTTGGGCAGTGGTGGAGCACTCTGGAGGGAGAAGCAGAGGATTTCTTGGTTTCGAGGTCAACCTGGTCTACAGAGTGAGTTCCAGACCAGCCAAGGCTTTGCGCAGAGAAACCCTATCTCGAAAACAAAGAGTTGTACATCCCTGTTGTCCCAGCACTCTGCTGCTTGAGGTAAAGGAATTGAGAGATGAAAAGAATACCCTAGCAAGAGACTGGCTGCTCTTCCAGAAAGCCCAGGATTTGATCCCCAGCACCAACACCATGGCTCACAATTGCCTGCAACTCAGTTCCAGGGAATCTAATGCACTCTTCTGGCATCTGTAGGCACAGGGCACACATGGCACACAAAACATACACAAAAATGGAAGAAAAGTTGTAGACTAGTTTGGACTACATAGTGGGTTACATAATAAGACTGTCTCAAACTAGTCAAACACCAACACTGACTTATCTATGCCAAGGGTAGTAAGTGCAATCCATGGGGAAGTGTCCTTCTAAACAAAGAACTGCCACCTAACCGAATGCAGCAGTGTGAGCCCAGCATACCTGGCTTTTAAGCTCTTCTACATTAGACCAGTGCCTGGAATTTCAGCAGTTTCATGTTGTCTTAACAACCTAGGAATAGAAAAATAAGAAAAATCAGACCTTATAACTGGTCTCTTAAAAGTTCCCAACAGTAATGAAGACTTCAATAAAACACCACTTGGTGCTGCATGGCCTACTTTTATTTTGAAAAATTATTTTTATTCAGAGGGTAATTTCTCTGATCCAGAAAGAATACTTAAGATTCAGATTTCCTACCTTGGCACTAAACTCTATAAACCTTAAACTCTAAAAGATATTCAGATATATTAACAATTGAAAATTTTTATGGACATTTATTTTGTGAGAAGGCATTCTACAACATAGGTCAGAAGACAACCTCTGGGAGGAAATTCTCCTCCACCATGTCAGTTCCAGAGATCAAAGTCAGACAGTCAGCAGCAAGTGCCTTTACCCACAGAACCATCTTGACGGTCCACTTAAAAGGAAAACCGGGCATGATGATGCCCACCTTTAATCCCAGCAGTCAGGAGGCACAGACAGGCGGATCTCTTGAGTTCGAGGCCAGCCTGGTCTACAAAGTGACTTCCAAGACAGGCTTCAAAGCCTCAGAGAAACCCTGTCTCTGGAAAACTAAAAGGAAAAAAACAGAAAAAAAAATTTTTTTTAAATTAAGCCTTCATCATCATAGTTCCCTTTCACAGATAACTAGCCCCTTGACACAACTTTAAAGCCTTGTTATAGGAGCTGAAGAGATGGCTCCAAAGTTAAGAGCTGCCAAAATCTAGGGTTTGAATACCAGCATCAATATGGTTGTTCATAAATGACTATAAACTCCAGTTTCCAGAAGCTCCTACACCTGCTGGCCACAGTGGGCACCAGGCACATATGAACTGTCAATACGTGCAGGCAGAACACACATTTTAAAAACTTTCGGTGCTTGTACCAAGGTCAGCTACAGCTATTGTGCTCCATCAAGTACCCGTCGGGACACTTTAGGTATTGTTCTCCACAGAGCATGAAACATGCAATTACAATCTGCTGCTTGCAAAATGTGTTAGGATAACATGCTGGAATCATGAATAAAGTAGGGCACAATAGCAGTGTAATAGTCACAACTATCAGATTTAGGTTCAGTTTTCCTTTGTTTTGAGACAGGGTTTCTCTGTGTAGCCCTGGCTGTCCTAGACCTAGCTTTGTAGACCAGGCTGGCCTTGAACTCAGAGATCTGCCTCTCCCTCCGCCTCCCTGAGTGCTAGGATTAAAGACACAGGCCACCCAACACACACACACACACACACCGTTTTCTTCTATTTAAAAAAAAAGGTTTATGTTGTTTACTTCATAAATAAATACATTAACACTTTAGACAGATAACAGTCTGGGGAAAAAAGTCATTATTTGACTAGAAATCTCTTAGGAATTTTGTCTCTCTTTTTTATTTCCAAAGTTTTAGGTAGGTAGGGGTGTGTGTGTAGATGTGGAGGGAGAGAGACTATGAATACAAAAGATTCAGTTTTAAGTTAGGAGAGTTAAGTTTTAAGTTATATAAACACAGAAAACCAGACATCTCCCTAAACTTGGAGTGTTTTGAAGTACCACTTAAATCTTACACCTGGCGTAAGGAATACTGTCCAAAATTCAAATCTGGATGAAATATTCATGTTTAAAGGTCTTACAAAGTTCTGAACATGCTTACTGGGGATCCACAGAACTGCTGTGTACTTTAATGCTTTATAGAAACCAAGCTTTAGTTATGAAACCTTATAATTTTTTAAAGTGTGCCATAAATCAAACCAAACCACTGTATTGGCCAAGTGTGGGTGTCAGTATTCAGGCATCTGTACTGTGTTGCCCTTGCGGTCCTGACAGGCTAAGTCCTGAGAAGAGCACCTCCTGTGGACACTATGTTCCCTTCTAAAAGGGCCCTGCACACCTCCCATCTCTCTGTTCCTTTCTCTCTCCTTCTCTGCCTGTCTCTGTCTCCCTCCAGCCCTCTCTGCCTCTCTTTTCCCTCTTGTTCGCTCTCCACTAATAAAACCCTCCACGTGAGTTCTTTCTGTTGCACGGCGTCTTTCTTGTGCCATCTTTAAATTCCAACAGTAGGAAGGAGCATCTCTAAGGACACAAAGATTTTAAAAGGGGCATTTTATATACTCACATACACACTACCATCCATAATCCTATGATTGCAAGAATATTAAAGACGCCTTCCTTCCAGGAAAAGGCCCATTCTACCAATGTATCATTCCCCAGGCCTTTGAGTGGTAGAAAATAAGACTTACTCACCAGGTATCAGATATATACGACACTCAATGTACAAAGAAATAACTGTATAAAGCAGATACCACAGCCCAATATTAAGCAGGCTGTTATTTAAATCATACGTGAATAGTAAAAACTCAACAGTACTTAAAGGCAAACACAATGAAAAAATTCTTGCTATAAAGTAACCTAAAGAAAAGGTGATATTTCCTGACGTCTCTAGTTTCTTAGTAAAAATGACTTTCCACCAGAATGCTCCCTTCTCAACAGCAGGGATTCTTTCCCAAGAAATACGTGTTTGGAGGTCTTATGTTTTAAGGCTGGGGGCTCTTTTAGTAAATATGACAGGAGAGCCCATGAACACTAGACCTCACAACCAATATGGCCCTTTCCATTGTAACAGAAAATTCAGGCTACTAAGGCAGTAAGAGTAGGATATTTTATAGAAGAAATTTATCTTTTCCTGTCATATTTATGATTATAAATATGATTATAAATATAAATGTTTGTGTATATGGGTGTTTTGTCTGCATATATGACTGGAGTTGCAGACGGGTGTGAGTCACCATCTAGATGATGGGAATTGAACTCGGGTCCTCTGGAAGAGCCATTTCTCCAACCAGCTCGTTTTTTTTCCCATCAAAGGTTACAGGTAATATTTGATGGTGTGAGCAAAGAAATGTTAGGCTTGCAAATACATAAAATATAATAATATACAAATTGATGTCATCAAATACGATTTTAACTTTGTTTCCGAGGACAGACATTGTGTATTCCACACTGGCTTTACATTATGTAGATGAAGATGACCCTGAACTGATCTTCCTTCCTCCAACTTTCCATGTGCTGGAATTACAAGTGGTTAATATAGGAAGCAAAGATAAATCCCCATGTTTGGGTCATCAGACTTGAACATAAGCCGGGGCAGTGATGAATTTGAGGCAACTGCCCTGCCCCAGCCTCCCGAGATGATGTCATACACCAGATACAGGGAGCTGGTCCTGGGGCCTCAAGTCTACCACTGAGTTCGCTCTTCTTTTTTAGGAGACAAGTAGATGTCTTAAGTTGCACGAATAACTGCACTAGCTAAGTAGCACGACAGGATTGACCCTGTGATCCACCTGCCTCAGCTCATGGACAGCTGGACTTACAGGGCTGCACCACCATGCCCAGAACTACGAGGCTTTTCAAAAACAAAAATTCAGCACCACCTGTATAGTCAAAGTAAAATACAGTCACTGAAAACCATCAGAGTGTAATCAGGTTTGGCTGACCACACTGACTGCCATTTTTTTTCTTTTGCTTATTTTAAACAGCACCCCACTATGAAAGCTAGGCTGGCATGGAGCTGGAGCTCCTGACATGCCTCTGAATGCTGAATAATGGGCACTGCATCCCTGAACCAGTAAACTCATTCAGTTTAAGGAGGAAGATGAACTTAAAAGAGCTGCAATGTTTTCTTTAAAAGTTCAATTTTCAAATAGATTATTGCCATCCCCAAGAGGTCAGCCAATTTGTCAACCATGCTAATAAAAGGCACTGGAGGGCTGGACAGACAGCTCAGTGGTTAAGAGCACTTGTTGCTCTAGAGGATGTGGGTTCAGTTACAGCACCCACACGGCAGTTCTAGTTCCAGGGGACCTTGTTTTGGCCTCCTTGGCAAAAGAAACCTATGTGAGGCACATACATACATTCAGGTAATGCTCATACACATAAAATAAAAATAAAATTTTTTCATTAAAAATGTTAAAGGCGCCAGACATGGCGGCACAGGCCTTCAATTCTACCACTTGGCAGGAGCAGCAGGCAGATCTCTTTGAGTCCGAGGCCAGTCTGGTTTACAGAGCAAGTTCCATGCCAGGTTCCAAAGCCACACTAGAAACCCTGTCTCCTAAAACAAAATCAAAAACCAAAACAACAACAACAAAAATTTAATTCACCAGACAGGGAGCTAGAAGTGATGGGAAAAGATTCACAACCCAATGCTTGAGCGAGGACATTAGATCAGAACAGAGCAGAGCAGAAAGGGCTTCACCACCCCAAAATGTTTTCTTTCTCTTCTTAGATGAAGTGACCACAAAACAAACAAACAAACAAACCCAGACAGACAAAAACCACAAAGGATCTCAAGGTTAACAGCAACCATCTCATTTCTCACTTGGGTTTCCTTTCTTGTAACTCTGCAGGGCCCCCAACCCACTTCTCTTTGTCTAGGGGAGCAGGTCTAAGGCTCTTCAGTACCTTCTAGGCCTACTTTTTCTGTATTAGGTTTTGGGGACAGTCTCACTACACAGTCCAGTTTGGTCTCAGTCTCACAATCATCCTCCAGAAGACATCACTTTATTTTCAACTTTGGTTTGGTTTTGGCGACAGGGTTTCTTGCAGCTTTGGAGCCTGTCTTGGAACTCCCTCCGCAAACCGCCTGGCTCTACCTCCTGAGTGCTGGGATTAAAGGAGAGCACCACCACTGCCACCCAACTAAACTTTGTTTTCTAAGACAGGCACTAACTACTCAGTTCCAGGCTGGCCTGGCACTCAGAGATCCATCTGCCTCTGCCTGCCTGCCAAGTGCTAGAATTAAAGGGGCCTACAACCACACCTGGCTTACTTCCAACTTAATGCTGGGCCCATTTTGTCTACCACCCCTTGTCACGAACTTCCACATTGCTGCTGCAACCACTCACCCTCTTACTTTTCATCCTGGCCGCCTTCCAGTTTATTCTC